ACCTTTTGATATTTTTCGAGTAGCTTCGTAATTCTATTGGTGTTAAACTACTGTGGTTTCTCGATGAAAGACTACGCCAAGTGCATTACAACGGCGCTTTAGTTATGGTAACCTTTCTTCACCATAAAGAAAATCCGAAATAAATAGGAGTCGAATGATGTAGGTTTCGGGCGGTGGACATACGATGGATGCATCAAAACTTACCAATCAAGAGCCGTCAATTTGTTTCGAGTCATTAAAGGTATGTCTGTGGGGTCTACCATTGTTATCATGAAACACAACTACTTCTTCGTTAACCAATTGTGGTCAATTCTTCTTGATTATTTAATTCAAGCGGTTGAGTTGCGAGCATTAATGCACAGAGTTAACCATTGCTCCAGTCCAGTGCAGCTCGTAATAGACAATTTCTACCAATTACACTTACCGGCTTTTAACTTTTGATCACTGGCGTTGGATATTGTCATATATTTACTTCCCAAATTGCTGTAGTTAAGCAGAGTGCACACAAATATGATATAAATTTTTACTTCTATTAGATTAATTCTATCTAACACTATAAAATGTCATGAAAAAATTGAATATAAAGAGAACTCACTTTAACTGAGAACACATTGTCAAATGTGTTACAATGTCTTCGGATAGTGTTAGAAACCCACAAGCATGCTCCAAGGCAAACAAAGAGTTCAAACAGGGTCGCATGAATAAAAACATGAATAAAATCTTACATATTTTAGCTAATTAGTTTTTTTAAAAAGTTTTTGGATTTGAAAATATCCTCTTTCTCTACTATTTTAAATCAAGTTCTTGTCATATTAAAAGTTCTTAACGCAATTAAACAAATAACCATATGAAGATAGAACCCATATTTAGTTCTATACCATGCAATATATCTAAAATTTACCCGGAGCCTTTGAAACAGCAATCATTTTTTATCCTTTGTGGTAACCCGCAGGTCGTCCCTTGCCAAGTTATTCACAGGAATATTTTGATATTTTTTGAGTAATTAAATATTTAGGTTATACACCGAAATTTGCAAAGTCTATCAATACAAGTTCAAGAAAGAGATAAAAGACTGTCGTATATACGTATTACCACAGTTCGTGTATAAACTAGCACAATAAACTGAAAGGCTTTATTTCACAAGCTAAATAACTTTAGAATGTGACTCTAACTTGATACAATACAGTTTATAATAATCAGGAAATTAAAAACACAGATAAAGTATCAGAGTGGTTTCCCATTCAAACTGGAATAAATAAAGCGCTTCAGGAAGACAACGACTAAATCACGCATCTTACAGACGGCCTAACCCTATTGAATGTTATGAGTCAGATGGTTGTGTTATTCTAACAATAACCCCCAAATTATTGCAAGTTAAGATAGATAAGCTTCACTATTATTAAGTGTTATGGAGTACACAATAAATATTCAAAAATAAAAAGTTGATATATTCAAAAAGCACCACAGTTTATATGCAGATCAAGAATTATAAACATATGACGATGAAAATTCGGAAAAAGTTAAGAAATAAAAATACACATGAGTATGGATCCGCTATAATATTATATATACTTAAGATCTAGTCGAAACGTTAAAGGAAGTAATAATGGGTATTAAATTGTCGTGAGTATTATTTTTATAAATAATAGAGCGTAAGAGAGCTTCCTTATAAAGAAGCAACGTAGAAGACCTACTCCGATACTTTATAAACAAATTGTTGCGATGACTGCTTAACACTAATTTTGAGACTAAGTTATAAAAAAGTTCTTAAGATGGACAACAATCAGTAACTTGAAAACATTACAAGAAAAATAATTGCTTTAAAACCTTGTACGACCTGTTGTACGGTCTGTCAAAATCCTGACAGACCTCAGTTATCATTGTGTTAAAAGAATCATATCATTATTGGTTTAAATACGCTTAAGTAAAGTTTATGAATTTAATTTGTATTATTTCATTATAAACTTTTTAATAGGATTTTGGTACAGTAGATACTACTACTACTTATATTACTACTAATAAAAAAAGAATAGACATAAAATTTAGTGAATTTATTTAAAAATATTTTTATTAGAATTATTCAAAAAATGGTTAGTAATTATATGTTTCATGTATTAAGTTTACATTCTCTGAAATTTACAGAAAGGATATTATATTAAAAATGTAGAAAATCGTGCGATGGCTATATATATATTATAGTTAATTGTTTAGACTTAGACACTATTTAGAACTTTTGAAGAACTTATGATCTTTTGTATCTCGGGTATGTTGATAGGCACCTTGCTGGATTTTGTGTATAGCACATGTTGTTGAAGCAGGTCCTTTATATTCGCTTTTGTAAAGACTTGAAGATGTTGCCGTATCAGACCCGAGGGTAAAAGAAGATTGACCACCATTCCTTCGAGTAATTATGCGTTCTGTACGTGTGGTTGATGGTAATGCATATTCGCCAGTTATAATACGAGTCATCGTTGATGATGATGCCGAAGATGCTGATTTAGCATCATACGATTTGTGTGCAACATTATAAGTTTGACGTTCATTCGAAGATGTTGATAAACAAGAATCTAACTCTTTGTTTTGCCTGTGTATGCTGCTATAACTTTTTCTTTCGCTTGGAATGCCACCAATGGAATGTTCGTGCAAATTTAGAATACTCTTACGGTGAATTTTTCCATTTGATGATAGACCACCAAATTGATTCGAGTCAGTTGATACATTCTTACGATGAAAAATGGAGTTAGTTATATCCGATTCGCTGGAAAGCTCACCTTTGCGGTGATGGTACTGTTTTGAAGAAGAAATATTGGATGCATTTGAAACATTGGACACATTTGAAATATTGGATACTTTTGAAACATTGGATAAATGTGTCATATTTGAGACATTAGATACATTTTTGCATTCATTATTGGAAACAGTATTTTGTGTTGCAACATTCGCTATTATTGTTCCTAAACTATCACGTTGATCAGTTATGCTTCTCTGATTAGCACGTGTTACATGATTTTCCTTTACTGACACAATATCACTGTGCTTATTTTCAATATTAATAGTCTTTGTCGCGTTAGTCGATTTTGTAGTATTTTCGATTATATTTACCTTTTCATTTCGCTTTACAAATTCAGTTTCCGGTTCCTTCTTATTGCGGCTCCCTATAACAGTCGTTACCTTCTTTGTAGATACAACTATCAAGCCGTCCGCTGGAGATTTCGTATTTCCATTTGTGACGTTTGTATTTTTACCAGAAGCAAAACTCATTTGGTTAGTTGTCTTAAGTATAGATTGATCACTTCCTAAGTTTATCGAAGAAGCATTGTGAGTTTGTTTAATTTTAGAGACTGTTTGAGATGTCTTTGTAATGGTGTTTGTAGATTTGAAATCTTCTCTCCTTTGCATATCCATGGTACCTTCCAATTTTAAGTTGTCTGTAGGTTTTTTTGGAATAATTCTTTCGGTTCTATCCTTTACAACGTTGTCACTTGCAGTTATTTTTCTAGTTGTTTTCTTATCCTCTATTCTATAAAAATCACCCTCACTTTTTAAGTTATCAACAGGCTTTTTAACTTGAGGTCGTTCTGCTGGTACATATTTCGTACTATCTGGACTGTAAAACTCGCCCTCAGATTTCAAATTATCAGTAGGTTTTACTTGTTGCGGTCTTTTCACGTATTTATAGCTTTCTTTTTGCGTAAAACACATATCTCCTTCCATTTTCAAATTGTCTTTATGAATTATTCGCTCTGATTTTGATGCAGTTTTAAATGAAGTCTTTTCAGGAACATAAAAACTACCTTCGGATTTTAAATTATCTTTTGGTTTCTTTTGAACGGGACGGTCTGCTGCACGATATACTGTTTTGGTAGGAGAGTAAAATTCACCCTCAGGTTTCAAATTGTCTGTATGCTTTACTGGCTTCTGTTTTTCTACAAACATATATTCATCTTTGGTGGTGAAAATCATTTCACCCTCAACTTTCAAATTATCTTTATGTATAATTCTTTCAGTTTTAGTAGCTGGCTTAAATGACGGCTTTTCAGGAACACAAATTTCACCTTCAGGTCTCAAATTATCCGCTGGAATCACTTGCTCTGGTCGTACAGTGAACTGATATTTTTCCTTTTCAATGAAAGTCATATCACCTTCTGTTTTCAAATTATCCTTTCGTATAACACGCTGAGCTTTTTCAGCAGGCTTATGTTGAGTTTTTTCCGGAACATAAAAATCTCCTTCAGGTTTCAAATTATCATCATGTTTAACAGGTGTTGGCCTCTCTCCAGGTTTGTATTCCGGCTTTGCAGGGCCATAAAATTGACCTTCAGGACGTAAATTATCCTCAGGTATTTTTGGAATAGGACGCTCTGCGGGCTTGAAGTCAGATTTTTGTGGAGTATAAAATACGCCTTCTGGTTTTAAATTATCGCTTGGTTTAATTTGATTCGGCCGAATAGTAAACTGATACTCGTCTTTCTCGATAAATGTCATTTCACCTTCGGTTCGTAGATTATCCTTATGAATAACCTTCTTAGTCTTCTCAGCAGGTCGGTACTGCGATTTACCTGGTATAAACAAATCACCTTCTGGTCGCAAGTTGTCTTCTGGTTTTTTCTGGACCGGTCGCTCAGCAGGTTTAAAATCAGTTTTATCAGGTGTATAGAATTTCCCTTCAGGCTTTAAGTTATCAGTTGGTTTTACTTGCTCTGGTCTGACTACATATTGATATTCATCCCTTTCAACAAATGTCATTTCACCTTCTGTCTTCAAATTATCTTTATGAATAATTCGTTGTATTTTTTCAGCAGGTTTAAACTTTGCTTTTTCTGGAGAGTAGAACTCACCTTCAGGTTTGAGATTATCATCAGGTCGAACTTGTGTTGGCCTTTCACCGGGCTTATATTTTAGTTTTTCTGGAGCATAGAACTCGCCTTCAGGTTTGAGGTTGTCATCTGGTCGAACTTGAGTTGGTCTCTCACCCGGCTTATATTTTGGTTTTTCTGGAGTGTAGAATTCACCTTCTGGTCGTAAATTGTCTTTGTGTTTCTTTTGGACAGGTCGCTCAGCAGGTTCAAAATCAACTTTATCTGGTGCATAGAATTTTCCTTCAGGCTTTAAGTTATCAGTTGGTTTTACTTGTTCTGGTCTGACTACATATTGATATTCTTCCCTTTCAACGAATGTCATTTCACCTTCTGTCTTCAAATTATCTTTACGAATAACTCGTTGTGTTTTCTCTGCGGGCTTGAATTGTGTTTTTTCTGGAACATAGAATTCACCTTCAGGTTTAAGATTATCATCTGGTCGAACTTGAGTTGGTCTTTCTCCAGATTTATATTTTGGTTTTTCTGGAGTATAAAACTCGCCTTCAGGTTTGAGATTATCATCAGGTCGAACTTGAGTTGGTCTTTCACCTGGTCTATATTTTGGTTTTTCGGGACTATGAAACTCACCCTCTGGCCGCAAGTTATCTTCGGGTTTCTTTTGAATGGGACGTTCAGCCGACTTAAATGTTGGTTTCTCCGGTGTATAGAATTCACCTTCAGGACGTAGGTTGTCATCTGGTCGAACTTGAGTTGGTCTTTCACCTGGTTTATATTTTAGTTTTTCTGGAGTATAGAATTCACCTTCAGGTTTGAGGTTGTCATCAGGTCTAACTTGAGTTGGTCTCTCACCAGGTTTATATTTTGGTTTTTCTGGAGCATAGAACTCGCCTTCAGGTTTGAGATTGTCATCAGGCCGAACTTGAGTTGGCCTTTCACCTGGTTTGTATTTCGGTTTTTCTGGAGTGTAGAATTCACCTTCTGGTCGTAAATTGTCTTTGTGTTTCTTTTGAACAGGTCTCTCAGCAGGTTCAAAATCAACTTTATCTGGTGCATAGAATTTTCCTTCAGGCTTTAAGTTATCAGTGGGTTTTACTTGTTCTGGTCTGACTACATATTGATATTCTTTCCTCTCAACGAATGTCATTTCACCTTCTGTCTTCAAATTATCTTTACGAATAACTCGTTGTGTTTTCTCTGCGGGCTTGAATTGTGTTTTTTCGGGAACATAGAATTCACCTTCAGGTTTAAGATTATCATCTGGTCGAACTTGAGTTGGTCTTTCTCCAGGTTTATATTTTGGTTTTTCTGGAGTATAAAACTCGCCTTCAGGTTTGAGATTATCATCAGGTCGTACTTGAGTTGGTCTTTCACCTGGTCTATATTTTGGTTTTTCGGGACTATGAAACTCACCCTCTGGCCGCAAGTTATCTTCGGGTTTCTTTTGAATGGGACGTTCAGCCGGCTTAAACGTTGGCTTCTCCGGTGTATAGAATTCACCTTCAGGACGTAGGTTGTCATCTGGTCGAACTTGAGTTGGTCTTTCACCTGGTTTATATTTTAGTTTTTCTGGAGCATAGAATTCACCTTCAGGTTTGAGGTTATCATCAGGTCGAACTTGAGTTGGTCTCTCACCAGGTTTATATTTTGGTTTTTCTGGAGCATAGAACTCGCCTTCAGGTTTGAGATTGTCATCAGGCCGAACTTGAGTTGGCCTTTCACCTGGTTTGTATTTTGGTTTTTCTGGAGTGTAGAATTCACCTTCTGGTCGTAAATTGTCTTTGTGTTTCTTTGACAGGTCGCTCAGGCAAGGTTCAAAATCAACTTTATCTGGTTGTAACAAAAAAAAATCATAGAATTTACCTTAAGCTTTAAGTTATCAAGTGGGTTTTACTTGTTCCTGGTCTGATAACATATTGGATATTCTCTCTCAAACGAATGTCATTTCACTTCTGTCCCTTTCCCCCCCCCAAAAAATTTTTTTCAAAATCTTTTACAGGGAAAAATAAAACCACTCCCCGGGTTCTTTTTGTGTTTTCTCTGCGGGGCTTGAAATTGTGGGTTTTTTCGGAAACATAGAATTCACCTTCAGGTTTAAGATTATCATCTGGTCGAACTTGAGTTGGTCTTTCACCTGGTTTATATTTTAGTTTTTCTGGAGCATAGAATTCACCTTCAGGTTTGAGGTTGTCATCAGGTCGAACTTGAGTTGGTCTCTCACCAGGTTTATATTTTGGTTTTTCTGGAGCATAGAACTCGCCTTCAGGTTTGAGGTTGTCATCTGGTCGAACTTGAGTTGGTCTCTCACCCGGCTTATATTTTGGTTTTTCTGGAGTGTAGAATTCACCTTCTGGTCGTAAATTGTCTTTGTGTTTCTTTTGGACAGGTCTCTCAGCAGGTTCAAAATCAACTTTATCTGGTGCATAGAATTTTCCTTCAGGCTTTAAGTTATCAGTGGGTTTTACTTGTTCTGGTCTGATAACATATTGATATTCTTCCCTCTCAACGAATGTCATTTCACCTTCTGTCTTCAAATTATCTTTACGAATAACTCGTTGTGTTTTCTCTGCGGGCTTAAATTGTGTTTTTTCGGGGACATAAAATTCACCTTCAAGTTTCAGATTATCATCAGGTCGAACTTGTGTCGGTCTTTCACCTGGTTTATACTTTGGTTTTTCCGGAGTATAAAATTCACCTTCAGGTTTGAGGTTGTCATCAGGTCGGACTTGAGTTGGTCTTTCACCGGGTTTATATTTTGGTTTTTCTGGAGCATAGAACTCGCCTTCAGGTTTGAGATTATCATCAGGTCGAACTTGAGTTGGTCTTTCACCTGGTCTATATTTTGGTTTTTCGGGACTATGAAACTCACCCTCTGGCCGCAAATTATCTTCGGGTTTCTTTTGAATGGGACGTTCAGCCGGCTTAAACGTTGGCTTCTCCGGTGTATAGAATTCACCTTCAGGACGTAGGTTGTCATCTGGTCGAACTTGAGTTGGTCTTTCACCTGGCTTATATTTCAGTTTTTCTGGAGCATAGAATTCACCTTCAGGTTTGAGGTTGTCATCAGGTCTAACTTGAGTTGGTCTCTCACCAGGTTTATATTTTGGTTTTTCTGGAGCATAGAACTCGCCTTCAGGTTTGAGATTATCATCGGGCCGAACTTGAGTTGGCCTCTCACCTGGTTTGTATTTCGGTTTTTCTGGAGTGTAGAATTCACCTTCTGGTCGTAAATTGTCTTTGTGTTTCTTTTGTGCAGGTCTCTCAGCAGGTTCAAAATCAACTTTATCTGGTGCATAGAATTTTCCTTCAGGTTTTAAGTTATCAGTGGGTTTTACTTGTTCTGGTCTGACTACATATTGATATTCTTCCCTTTCAACGAATGTCATTTCACCTTCTGTCTTCAAATTATCTTTACGAATAACTCGTTGTGTTTTCTCTGCGGGCTTGAATTGTGTTTTTTCGGGAACATAGAATTCACCTTCAGGTTTAAGGTTATCATCTGGTCGAACTTGTGTCGGTCTTTCTCCAGGTTTATATTTTGGTTTTTCTGGAGTATGAAATTCACCTTCAGGTTTGAGATTGTCATCTGGTCGAACTGGAGTTGGTCTCTCACCAGGTTTATATTTTGGTTTTTCTGGAGCATAGAACTCGCCTTCAGGTTTGAGATTATCATCAGGCCGAACTTGTGTTGGTCTTTCTCCTGGTTTGTATTTCGGTTTTTCTGGAGTGTAGAATTCACCTTCTGGTCGTAAATTGTCTTCTGGTTTCTTTTGAATAGGTCTCTCAGCAGGTTCAAAATCAACTTTATCTGGTGTATAGAATTTTCCTTCAGGCTTTAAGTTATCAGTTGGTTTTACTTGTTCTGGTCTGACTACATATTGATATTCTTCCCTCTCAACGAATGTCATTTCACCTTCTGTCTTCAAATTATCTTTACGAATAACTCGTTGTGTTTTCTCTGCGGGCTTGAATTGTGTTTTTTCGGGAACATAAAACTCACCTTCAGGTTTAAGATTATCATCTGGTCGAACTTGTGTCG